ACAAGTTTTATATTTTGCAATGACATCACGCTGGTTTTGCTAATTCTTCTTGTAGGAAGTTTCAGAGTCCCACCCAACCTTAAAGAGGAAGAAAATACTGTATTCATCTCAAATTCAACATGACACTGAATTTAAGATGATCCCCACCCCAATAATTAGATTCTATACATGGAAAATTTATAACTTTGTTATAATTTTCCATGCATAGAACCTAATTATTGGAGGCTTGTTTTAAAATTGGTCCCCTGTACCACTGCAGCAAGGAAAGCAGTGGCAGGAGGCGGGGCAATAGGAGAGGCTGTAGGGGGGCAGGTGGCAGAGAAAGCAGTAAGGTGGCAGACACTGGAGGTGTCTAGCAGCTTGACACCTCCTGCTTTTTGCCCTTTGCACGGCACCCCCCCCCCCCAACACATCCTATGTCCACTACCACTTGCTCCCCCTGCTGCCTGCACCCTGGTCCCCCTGCTACTTGCCCCACCATGCCTATACCCACCTGGTGCCTGCCTCCCCACCATTTCAGCACCCCCTCCCATAGCCTCTGCCCCCTGCCTGCCTCTTCCCCACATCCTGCTGCTTATCTTTGCTCTGACTTCAGCAGGGCTCTGACCTTGCTCCAGACTAGGGTAAGGAGCATATGTTTGCTCTGACCCTAGCCCAACTCAGTAGCAGTGTCAGCAGGCTTCACAGATCCCAGGCTTCCCCTGCACTGGCAAGTAGCAAGCTTGGCTCCAGTATGCTCCCACAGCTGGTCAGGGCTCCCTGCCAAGGGAGCCCTCGAGGTGCTCCTACAGCTGGGAGTCCTTGTCAGGTGCTTAGCACTCCAAGCCGTGAGAAAGTATTGGAGCCAAGGGCTCCTCTGCACTCCTCTAGCTGGGTGACCTGTGCTCCCAACCTCAGGAGCACATTACTCTTGAAGGGATCAAGGGTGCTCCCAAGGCTGGGAGACCTGGCCACACACAATTTAAGGCATGATGGGAACCAGCTACAAAGTTATTACACATATTCCCTTCCTATTTTATCACGCCATTAACTGAGGGAACGTGTGGTCATGTCACTACTTAAGACATGATTAACCAGGCAATTGTGTCTGAGGTGCAATGTCTGTCAGGACCTTCAGCTTATGTGTACCCAAAACTACTTGTAACTACTTTTTTGAATTAATGCATTTCAAACTGACTGGCTTCCTTAAGTGTTAAGCTTCCATGAGATCTGTGCTGTAAGAACCATAACTGAAGTAGTATTTTAATAAGACAACAGGCTCATGTGGATCAGCAGAAATACAGCAACTTTCTTCTTTAACACAAAGATGTAATTATTTTATTTGTTTAATTTTTAATGGATGTTAACTGTTATCCTTATTGTAGATGAGATAAAATGGGCCAGAGGAATATAAAACTTTGTGTATTACACAAACCAACCGCTGGTTGTATCAATGATTCCTGTTCCTGTTCCCAAGCACAGTGGGAGAGGCCAAGCAATGGACAGGGATGTGCCTGAAATGCTCACCCACATACCTAACAGGGGAAGAAGACATGCTTGAAATCTAAATCCCCCAATGAGGTGACAGGGAGAAAAGAGTTGTGTCCTGTCTCTTTCCAAGACACTTGGTCTTCCTTTCTACAAAAGTACGTAACGGGGAACTGAAGCATTTGTAAGGAAGGATGCTATCAACAAGTATACAATGTTCATTTTCTGAGTTACAACTTGCTCCTTTGGAGACAAAGGGCTACCAATGAATGTATATTCTTAACTGCTTACTTAGCAGACAGTCTGGAAAATGCTAGTGTCCCAAGGGAAATTTTTAGGGGGTGCACCGATAAAGTTACTTTTGGCCGATACCGATGGCTGATTATTAACCAGCCATATCGGTTGATACCGATAGTCAATTTACAGGAATGCACCCCGGCAGCTTGGAAAGCAGCCTTCTGTCAGTAAGTCTGGCGGGGGGGAAGAGGAGGGAAGGGGCATGGGGGGCACAGATCAAGGCTTCCCACGATGAGGGAGGGAGTGGGGCAGGGGCAGGCACTGCCCAGCCAAGGAGGTGAATGCGACCCCAGGAGCAGGATGGAGCCATGGGCAGTTTATCCAGGGAGTGTGCGGGGTGGGTGTCTCCCCACTACTGTGCACTCCCCTGGGGGAGGCATGTGCCCCCCTGGATTTTTGTGTGGTGTGAGGGTGCTGCCCACTGCAGGCTTGGGGCCAGGGGCTGTGCCAGCTTCTTTCCAGTTGGGGGACTGAGCCAGGACTGTGCTCAGGGTGGACGGGGGTGGGGCAGGCAGCGGTGGCACTGGGAGGGGTGGCTACGGGGTAGGCTATGGCCACCTCAAAATTTGCCATAGGCCCCCCATAGTCACCCCACCCAGTACCACTGCCACCAGCCCTGCCCCCACCTGCTCAGAGCCCAGCCCCTGCCCAGACTCCACACTGGGAAGAGGCTGGCGCAGCCTCTGGTCCCAAGCCCACAGGGGGCAGACCACCCTCACTCTGTGCACAAATCTGGGGGGGAACATGCCCCCATGCCTCCCCCAGGGGTGCATGCAGCAGTGGGGAACTGCCCCCCTGCACCCCCCAGACAAGCTGCCCATGGCTCTGTTCCACTTCTCGGGTCACATTCACTGCCCTGGCTGAGCAGCGCCTGCCCCTGGCCCCACCCCTGCCCCACTCCCTTCCTCACCAGGGGGGGGGCCTCAGTCTGCTCCTCCATGCCCCTTCCCTCCCACAGACTTACCAGCAGGAGGCTGCTCTTCAAGCTGTCGGGCTGCATTCCTGGCTGTGTGCATGCTGAGGCTGTATGCATGCACACGGCATTTATCGGTGACATTATCGGCTATACTGACCAAAAAAAAGCCTATTGCTGATAATGTTAATTTTCCTTTTATGCCTATCTGATAAGCCACTGATATATCAGTGCGTCTCTAGCAATTTTGCACCCTTTTCAAATCAAGCTCACCTAGAAGGGAAGCTTAATTTAAGTCCTCTTTTTCTCTTTGCTATACCCTCTGCCCCACAACACAGCGGAGGGGGAGGGGGGAATGAACTGACGTGCCCCCTGTTCACTTACTTTAAAATACTGTAACATGTCCAATAATTTCTTATGTTTTTAAGTTACATTCAAAATGGGCTGGCTAATTTCTTCTCAAAAGTGAGAAGGAAAAATGGATTAAGTTAGGTGCACCTAGCACAATGACTCATCTCAAAAATAGACAGATTTCTTGGGTCAAAGATACTTTTACTGTTGGATATACTGTTTTGAACTTAGGCAGCTGGGGCATGCCACAAATTAGCCCTGTACCTTTCAAGTACCACTGTGATCCCTTTCCCTTATTGATCTGCTTTACTTTTTGTTCTCTGCCCAGTGTTCCCTGACCAAACTACTGCCCTGCTTTCTGCTCTCTGCCCGAGATGATGCTCTGCTTTCTCCTCCCTGGCCGATCTGCCACTGTGCTATCTGTTCTATCCCCAATCTGTTGTGCCACACAAAGAGGCTGCCCATGCCACAAGTTGGCCACCCCTGGCCTAAAGAAACCCAAATCAGATGCTATGTAATCCTTTGCAGTGATGCACCTAGCTAAATTCCATTAAGTTAGTACTCTAATCATACACTGAAATATCATTGCCTTAAC